ATTCTTGAAGAAAAGAATTTTCAACCCAAAATTTCATATCCAGCCAAACTAAGCTTCATAAGCAAAAGAGAAATAAAATCCTTTACAGACAAGCAAATGCTGAGAGACTTTGTCACCACCAAGCCTGCCTTTCAAGAGCTCCTGAAGGAAGCACTAAATATGAAAAGGAACAACCGGTACCAGCCACTGCTGGTACCATTTTGCATGCCAATTTGTAAAGATCATCAACATCATGAAGAGACTGCATCAACTAACAGGCAAAATAACCAGCTAGCATCATAATGACAGGATCAAATTCACACATAACAATATTAACCTTAAACGTAAATGGGCTAAATGCCCCCAATTAAAAGACACAGACTGGCAAATTGGATAAAGAATCAAGGCCTATTTGTGTGCTGTATTCAGGATACCCATCTCATGTGCAAAGACACACATAGGCTCAAAATAAAGGGATGGAGGAATATTTACCAAGCAAATGGAAAGCAAAAAAAAGAAGAAGAAGAAGAGGAAGAAGAAGGAAGAAGGAGAAGAAGAAGGAGAAGGAGAAGGAGAAGGAGAAGGAGAAGAAGAAGAAGAAGAAGAAGAAGAAGAAGAAGAAGAAGAAGAAGAAGAAGAAGAAATCCTAGTCTCCGATAAAACAGACTTGAAACCAACAAAGATCAAAAGAGACAAAAGAAGCCCATTACGTAATGGTAAAAGGATCAATGCAACAAGAAGAGCTAAGTATCCTAATTATACGTACACCCAATACAGGAGCACCTAGATTCATAAAGCAAGTTCTTAGAGATCTACAAAGAGACTCAGACTCCCACACAATAATAGTGGGAGACTTTAACATTCCACTGTCAATATTAGACAGATCAACAAGACAGAAAATTAACAAGGATATTCAGAACTTGAACTCAGCTCTGGACCAAGCAGACCTAATAGACATCTACAGAACTCTCCACCCCAAATCAACGGAATACACATTCTTCTCAGCACCACATTGCACTTATTCTAAAATTGACAACATAATTGGAAGTAAAAACACTCCTCAGCAAATGCAAAAGAACAGAAATCATAACGAACAGTCTCTCAGACCACAGTACAATCAAATTAGAACTCAGGATTGGCTGGGCACAGTGGCTCCCAACTGTAATCCCAGCACTTTGGGAGCCTGAGGTAGGAGGATCACAAGATCAGGAGTTCAAGACCAGACAGGCCAATATAGTGAAAACCCATCTCTACTAAAAATACAAAAAATGTGCTGGATGTGGTGGTGGGCACCTGTAATCCCAGCTACTTGGGAGGCTGAGGCAGGAGAACTGCTTGAACCTGGGAGGTGAAAGTTGCAGTGAGCCGAGATAGTGCCATTGCACTCCAGCCCAGGTGACAGTGCGAGACTCTGTCTCAAAAAAAAAAAAAGAACTAAGGATTACGAAACTCACTCAAACTGCACAACTACATGGAAACTGAACAACCTTCTCCTGAATGACCACTGGGTAAATAACGAAATTAAGTCAGAAATAAATAAGTTCTTTGAAACCAATGAGAACAAAGACTTACAATGTACCAGAATCTCTGGGACACAGCCAAAGCAGTGTTTAGAGGGAAATTTAAAGCATGAAATTCCCACAGGAGAAAGTGAGAAAGATCTAAAATCAACACCCTAACATCACAATTAAAAGAACTAGAGAAGCAAGAGCAAACAAATTCAAAAGCTAGCAGAAGACAAGAAATAACTAAGAGCAGGGCAGAACTGAAGGAGATAGAGACACAAAAAACAGTTATCAATGAATCCAGGAGCTGGTTTTTTGAAAAGATCAACAAAATTGATAGACAGCTAGCAAGACTAATAAAGAAGAAAAGAGAGAAGAATCAAATAGACTTAATAAAAAATGATAGAAGATACAACCACTGATCTCAAAGAAATACAAACTATCATCAAAGAATACTATAAACACCTCTACACAAATAAACTAGAAAATGTAGAAGAAATTGATAAATTCCTGGACACATACACCCTCCCAATACTAAACCAGTACGAAGTTGAATCCCTGAATAGACAAATAACAAGTTCTGAAATTGAGGCAGTAATTAAATAGCCTACCAACCAAAAACAGCTCAGGACCAGATAGATTCACAGCTGAATTCTACCAGAGGTACAAAGAGGAGCTGGTGCTATTCCTTCTGAAACTATTTGAAACAATAGAAAAAGAGGAACTCATTTTATGAGGCCAGCATCATCCTGATACCAAAACCTGGCAGAGAGACAACAAAAAAAGAAAATTTCAGGCCAATATCCCTGATGAACATTGACATGAAAATCCTCAGTAAAATACTGGCAAATCAAATCCAGCAGCGCATCAAAAAGCTTATCCACCACGATCAAGTCGGCTTCATCCCTGGAATGCAAGGCTGGTTCAACATATGCAAATCAATAAACGTAATCCATCACTTAAACAGAACCAATAACAAAAACCACATGATTATCTCAATAGTTGCAGAAAAGGCCTTCAATAAAATTCAACACCCTTTCATGCTAAAAACGCTCAATAAACTAGGTATTGATGGAACGTATCTCAAAATAACAGGAGTTTTTATGACAAACCCACAGTCAATATCATACTAAACGGTCAAAAGCTGGAAGCAGTCCCTCTGAAAACCGGCACAAGACAAGGATGCCCTCTCTCACCACTCCTGTTCAACACAATATTAGAAGTTCTGGCCAGGGTAATCAGGCAAGAAAAAGAAATAAAGGGTACTCAAATAGAAAGAGAGGAAGTCGAATTGTCTCTGCATATGACATGATTGTATATTTAGAAAACCCCATCATCTTAGCCAAAGCTGATAAGCAACTTCAGCAAACTCTCAGGATACAAAATCAATGTGCAAAAATCACAAGCATTTCTATACACCAATAATAGACAAATAGAGAGCCAAATCATGAGTGAATTCCCATTCACAACTGCTAAAAAGAGAATAAAATACCTAGGAATACAATTAACAAGGGATGTGAAGGACCTCTTCAAGGAGAACTACAAACCACTGCTCAAGGAAACAAAAGAAGACACAAACAAATAGAAAAACATTCCATGCTCATGGATAGGAAGAATCGATATCATGAAAATGGCCATACTGCTCAAAGTAATTTATAGATTCAGTGCTATCCCCATCAAGCTACCATTGACTTTCTTCAAAGAATTAGAAAAAACTACTACTTTAAATTTCATGTGGGACCAAAAAAGAGCCCATATAGCTAAGACAGTCCTAAGCTAAAAGAACAAAACTGGAGGCATCATGCTACTTGACTTCAAAATATACTACAAGGCTACGGTAACCAAAACAGCATGGTACTGGTACCAAAACAGAGATATAGATCAACGGAACAGAACAGAGGCTTCAGAAATAACACCACACATCTACAGCCATCTGATCTTTGACAAGCCTGACAAAAACAAGCAATGGGGAAAGGATTTTCTATTTAATAAATGTGGTTGGGAAAACTGGCTAGCCATATGCAGAACACTGAAACTGGACCCCTTCCTTATACCTTACACAAAAATTAACTGAACATGGATTAAAGACTTAAATGTAAGACCTAAAACCATAAAAAATCTAGAAGAAAACCTATGCAATACCATTCAGGACATGGGCATGGGTAAAGACTTCATGACTGAAACACCAAAAAGCAATAGCAACAAAACCCAAAATTGACACATGGGATCTAATTAAACTAAAGAGCTTCTGCACAGCAAAAGAAACTATCATCAAAGTGATCAACAAGCTATCAAAGTGATCACAAGCTATCAAAGTGATCAAAAGTGATCACTTTGATGAAACTATCATCAAATCACTATCATCAAATGATGATAGTGATTCATCAAATGATGAAACTATCATCAAAGTGATCATCAAAGTGATCAACAGAATGGGAGAAAATGTTTGCAATCTATTCATCTGACAAAGAGCTAATAATATCCAGAATCTACAAGGAACTTAAACAAAGTTACAAGAAAAAAAAACAACTCCATCAAAAAGTGGGCAGAGGATATAAACAGACACTTCTCAAAAGAAGACATTTATACAACCAACAAATATATGAAAAAAGCTCATCATCACTGGTTATTAGAGAAATGCAAATCAACACCACAATGAGATACCATCTCACACCAGTTAGAATGGCAATCATTAAAAAGTCAGGAAACAACAGATGCTGGAGAGGATGTGGAGAAATAGGAACGCTTTTACACTGTTGGTGGGAGTGTAAATTAGTTCAATCATTGTGGAAGACAGTCTGGCGATTCCTCAAGGACCTAGAACCAGAAATACCATTTGACCCAGCAATCCCATTACTGGGTATATACCCAAAGGATTATAAATCATTCTACTATAAAGACACATGCACACGTATGTTTATTGCAGCACTATTCACAATAGCAAAGACTTGGAACCAACCCAAATGCCCATCAGTGATAGACTGGATAAGAAAATGTGCCACATATATACCATGGAATACTATCCAGTCATAGAAAACAATGAGTTCATGTCCTTTACAGGGATATGGATGAAGGTGGAAACCATCATTCTCAGCAAACTAACACAGAAACAAAAAACCAAACACTGCATGTTCTTACCCATAAGTGGGAGTTGAACAATGAGAACACATAGACACAGGGAGGGGAACATCATACACTGGGGCCTGTTGGGGGGTAGGGGTCTAGGGGAGGGATAGCATTAGGAGAAATACCTAATGTAGATGACGGGTTGATGGGTGCAGCAAGCCACCATGGCACGTTTATACCTATGTAACAAACCTACACGTTCTGCACATAAAGTATAATAATAATAATAAAAAGAACCCCAGAGAAATACACATAGAACCTAAACAAGGCCAAGTTCAAAATTCCAAAACTAGTCACAGCTAAACTAAGCAATCATATCAGTTAGGTGAACCATTTCGGGCCAGTAAAATAACTGATGTTTCCACCATTTCCTTTTAGATTAAGGAAATTTAGAAGCTATTCTTCCTAACTAATGAAGCCACTGCTATCGCATAAAGATGCCAGTGCCCCTCTCCTGCTCCTGAAGAACCTAATGAAGAGTTGAAAAGCCAACTGAGCAGAAGCTGGTACCAGAGTATGGAGCAATGCTGTGCTCACAAGAGTCTACGCAGGTTGGTGGATTCTGTCTGTCAGTTGGAGGCTCTTTAAGAGAAGAGGTCCTCTCTCCATTTATGACTCAAGTTCTCTTCCACTTTTCCACCATGTATGTACACACACATGCGTGCACACACACACAGCCTTTTCACCTTACACAGGGGAAAGAGGTAACTTGACCTAGGTTAACTAATAAGGTACTATTCCACTGAAAGTACAATTACAGAGTAAAAAGCCAAATCCAGTAAATTTTAAAAGACTGGACAACAAAAGCTATGCATAGCAAAGTATCTATAGATGAAAAGCCCAGAGGCTCGCGAGCTCACCAAGAATAATCCTGCTTGGGGAAAGGTCCAGGCCTCCAGAAGGTGTTGTAACTAAATGAGACCAGCTCTCCAGGAAATCTGGTGGCAACGTGGTGAGTCTGTTGCTTGATAAATCCAAGTAGGCAAGGTTCTTCAGATACCTGAGTGCCTCATTTGGCACACTGGTTATTTTGTTATTGTGCAAGTCCAGGGTCCTCAGAAGGGGCATGTCCAGCAGAGATGCCCAAGGGAAAGCAGCCAGAGAATTCCCATCCAAGCGCAACTCATGCAGTTGCTTCAGGTTGTAAAAGCTGCTGGGGTCAATGCTGGCCACGGAATTGTAAGTCACCCAGAGATACTGGAGCTCCACCAGGTAATAGAAGGCCTCCGCCGAGATTCTGCGGATGACAGTCTTCTCTATGCGAAGCTTCACAGTGTCCACGGGGAGGTTCGTAGGGAGCTCGTTCATATCCATGTCATTACATAGCACCAACCTAGTGTCACAACATGAGCAATGTGAGGAAACTCACTTTCCAACATCCATTTGAAAAAAATACTTCTCATTTGAAAAACGTATCAATTTTCGGCCGGACAGTGGCTCACGCCTGTAATCCTAGCACTTTGGGAGGCCAAGGTGGGCCTTGGTTCAAATCTAACCAAGGTCTAAGGTCTACCACCTCCTCTGTGGCCATGGAAAACCACTTCACCAGTGTCTCAACCTAATTTTCCCATACGGCACTGTTATGGATGATTAATTACAATGGATGTAAAACTCTACAACTTCCTAGCACATAATATGTACCCAGCAGGTATTTGCTGCTACTGTCAACAACCTCGGTTTTACATGGAAAGTAACTGGGGCCCAACAACATTCAGTAACTTCCCAAGGCCACCCAGCTAGTGGGTTTCACAGTCACCTTTCAAAACCACTTCTTTCCAACTTAAAGTGGACCTCTTTAGGAAATGGCCCATTTTAAAAGAACCCCTGTTAAAATAATAAATCAATCCTTTTTAAGAGAATAACTTATTTAGGTGAAAAAAAAGTGTTCACAGTACATGTTTAAAGTTGAGCTCTGTTTTAACAACGTGACTTGCACATTGCTTTCTGCCTAAGGAATAAACCAGAAACTAGGAGCTGACCTTGAGCAAGTCACATTTTGATCTTGTTTCTTGGCACATATAAAACAGGCTTAGAAAAACAACACTGGGCAATGTGGCTCATGGCTGTAATCCCAGCACTTTGGGAGGTCAAAGTGGGCAGATCACCTGAGGTCAGAAGTTCGAGATCAGCCTGGCCAACATGGCGAAACCCTGACTCCACTAAAAATACAAAATTAGCCAGGCGTGGTGGTAGGTGCCTGTAATCCCAGCTACTCAGGAGGCTGAGGTGGGAGAATCACTTGAACCTAGGAAGCAGAGGTTGCAGTGGGCCAAGATAATGCCACTGCACTCCAGCCTGGGTGACAGACCAAGACTCCATCTCAAAATAGAGAAAAAAAAAAAAGAAAAGAAAGAAAGAAGAACAACACTGTCCCATGTGTAAATTTAAACTATGAGGAATCTGAGAATATAGATTCATTTTAGCCTGGAAAATGACTTTTTTATCTCCTATGAGATACTCATCTGAATTACAAAAAATAATAAGTTTTGCAAAGTATCATCTAAATTATAGCACACTATAAATTCAGTAAATAATTACAATAAAATAACCCTTTAGTGAAACACATCACATTAAATAAGTGGATTTGAAAAACCAGCTCATAATGTAAACAGACATAAGCAGCATAAAGCTGCAATGTAGTGGTTGTGTGGTAGTGGTGGTGGTGTCTCATTTCTATAACTTCAGGAGAAGACCTCACGGAATCTTTGAAATCCTGTAGGGATATCTCTTACTTTTCATCTCTATTGTGTATCACAGATTTCAGGGCTACTTTATACCAGAATGGTAGCAGTTTCTACTCATTAAGAAAGTATTGGCTGGGCGCGGTGGCTCACGCCTGTAATCCCAGCACTTTGGGAGGCCGAGGTGGGCAGATTACCTGAGGTCAGGAGTTTGAGACCAGCCTGGCCAACATGGTGAAATCCCGTCTCTACTAAAAATGCAAAAACTAGCCAGGCATGGTGGCACATGCCTGTAATCCCAGCTCCATGGGAGGCTGAGGCAGGAGAATTGCTTGAGTCCAGGAGATGGAGGTTGCAGTGAGCCGAGATTGTGCCACTGCACTCCAGCCTGGCCAACAAAGCAAGACTCTGTCTCAAAAAAATAAACAAATAAAATAAGTATTTCAGCATGCTATCATAGAAGAAAGCCTAGTTTGTACACTGAAAGATTTAGCATCTTTATGAACTTAGTTACTAACACAATTACATGATCTAGAACAAGTCATTTGGTCTCTATACAGTTTAGTTTCTTCACTTATAAACTGACGAGGGGTTGAACTAGATTATTTCTTGCCAGGCCTAATATTCTATAATTTTTATAAAATCCATCAATAATGGGGTCACCACAAAGAAGGAAACATTTCTGTGATAGTTTCTCAAAAGTACCCTGGCCTGATCCTTCACTGCTGCACATCCCTGGACAAGTAGGCCTTTAACTTGCTACATTCCCTTCATCGTCTTTAACCACCTGGTGAATATGTCAAAAAATACCAAGAATTGCTTAAAGTTTATACAATAACAAGATAAGCTTTTCACAAATATGTCTTAGTTATTATTATTTATTTGTTTAAAGTTATAAGACATAAATTGGGCAACTCTTTTAACAAATTATTTTGTCTGAGGCACTGTTTACTTCAACCAAGTCATGAATAATCTGATTTTATTATTAAATACCCTCTCAAAAAAAAAAAAAAATTCAAGTTCTAGGCCAGGCGCGGTGACTCATGCCTGTAATCCCAACACTTTGGGAGGCTGAGGCAGGCGAATTACCTGAGGTCAGGAGTTCGAGAGCAGCCTGGCCAACATGGTGAAACTCCGTCTCTACTAAAAATACAAAAAAAATTGCAGGGCGTGGTGTCAGACGCCTGTTATCCCAGCTAATCGGGAGGGTGAGGCAGGAGAATCACTTGAACCAGGGAGGTGGAGTTTGCAGTGAGCCGAGATCACGCCACTGCACTCCAGCCCAGGCGACAGTGTGAGACTCTGTCTCGAAAAAATAAAAAGAAATTCAAGTTATACTGTGTTTAGCTAGCAAGAGTTCTGTTTTCCATTTAACATATCTAAAAGGCCTCATGCACATTATAAGCAAATAAGTATTCTCGCTACACAGGTAGATGCTAAAGCAACCTAGAGATTGAATAACTTCTGTGAGATCCTACAGTGTCTGCAACAGACAGTATCTTTTTCAATCTTCCTTATTTTGTAAATTCCATCAGCTTAAAATGGAAAAATTCTAACTATCAACCTCTCTAACTTCACTCTTGAGATCTTTCTTTCTGCCACTCAACTGACATGAATAATCCTCAAAGGAAGTGGAGAGTCACGAAAGCAAAGGATCTGAGCATGTCCCGCAGCTCCTGTTCAGCCTGCCCTCAGCCTTTCTATAATCAAGGGCTGAGCTGGCCACGCACCTTTAAATGGTTTGCTCTCAAGCAACATTTTGCAAACATAAGCATGATAAAAATTTTGGAACACAGAATGTGTTTAGAAATTTCCGGTAACTTGAGAGACCTTTAAGAGTTAAACTGCTCGAAATGAAAACAGTGAAGGAGTAGGTGACCAGTATTAACACAATTACGTTAGAGCTTACGGACACTAAACATTCTCTTCTGCGATTTCTGATCCTCAAACATTTGCTTTCAAAGTAGGCTTTCTTGTTTGGGTCCTTTTTGTCAAAATAATGAGAACATTTAGTAGCAAGCAGAGGAGCATACCTTGATCCTGAGCCGTCATTTCTGCCGTGATAATCACAGGTGCACTGTGAAGGACATGAACAGCCCACTCCTTCCAAAACGTTAAGGACAATGCACAGACATGCAAAGAGATGCATTGCTCCTTTTCGAGGTTATTTAAACAAAAGGTAAAAACCCAATCCTAAGCATTCAGAAACTGGTGTGCCTGGAATACAAACAGCCATTTAGTAACAGCAGATTACACAGGATTAGCTGAGATCTGTAGTTACTTAACCTTCAAGTGTATCTTGCAGGAGATCAATTGACCTAGCCTTCGAATACGGTTTCAGCAAAGTAACACATTCTAAGGAAAATGAAAATCAAACACATGACAAGCAATTTCAATAGTTACCCATATCTAGATTTGCAAGGAAATGCCTATTAAATCCCTTTCCTCTGGATGTACTTGCCACTACACCTTAAAAATATACTTAATGTTAAAAATAATTCAGTCTTGGCAGATGCAAGAAAATTCTGTAGATTATTTACATGTTATAACATTATAAAATGCTTTACATTTGGTGTTTGCCAGCATGCATAACTAATTCAGTTTTACAAAATTTAGTTTTAAAAATAGAAGCACATGACATAAAAATGATTTAGAAAAGAATTATCGATGTTGCCTAAAACATCGGGACATACTGGCTATCCCTAAAAGTAAAGTAAAACAAGTCTGTTACATAGATTTTATAGGGAAAATGCTTCAACCCACTACTGATGTGGCAGGACTAAGTTCTCCAATGAGAACGTGTTCTGAGACTCTTCCAGGTCATCTCAGTGTGTGGAAGGTTTATCCCAGCCGTTTATTTTTAATGCAGGCAGCTATCTCTGTTCAATAGTTTCCCAAGTTATCGGCATCAAAGCCATATTTGAAGATCAACTCTAATTCTTTCAGCTATACTAGGCTCTATCAGAAAATAAAAATTAAACGTAATTAAATTTAAAACTATCTCCACACCCATAAAGTGGAGAATCCACAGGGACAATCAAGGATGTAAATAATAAATATATGTCATTTAACCTTCTTAGTGGCTGCTTCTAACCATCCTCTTTAACTAAAAACTTTTTTAAAAGAAAAGTAATTCTATAAAAATAAGCATATTACAGAAAATGTTATTTAAAACTAATATAATTTATATAAAAACTACAGAGTCTGAAAAACTGTGCTCAATTAAAATAAAATACTGCAGGTTTTCAGATTCGGCACAACTCGTTTGTTCACCAAATATTTACTGAGTACTTATTCTCTGCTGAGCACTGAGGGGTACAAAGAGGAATAAAACAGTTGTTACACATAAGGAACTCACACGATAAAGGGAGGAACAGACTACTAAAGAAGCACCAGAAAAGAGCATCAAACCCAGCCTGTGTTAGTTAAGCAAGACTTTCTAGGGTGGGTGGTGCCTGGCTGCCTTTTACAGGGTGCATGAGGATGTATTATGGGAAAATCCAGAAAGTCGCATTGCAAGCAAAGGGAATAGTGGGAACAAAGGGAGGGAAGTGAGAAACAGTGTATTGTCCTCAGAAAATTTCAAGCACTTCTTATTGCTCAGGCATAAGATTTTGAGGCGGGAAGTTAAAGAAGATAAAGCTGGAGAGGTAAGTGGGGATGAAGTTATCAAGGAAACCCTTAGATTCCCTATGGAGAGCTTACTCTCAGCCTATAGGCAATGAGAGCAATAAAAGTTAGGCTTGGGAGTGACATATCAGCTTATCCTTTTAGGAAGAATTCTCTGGCGGCTGTGGGGAGAAAATGTTTAGATAGCGCAAGCAAGAAGAAAGGAGGAGGCTTCTGGTGGATGTCTGTGGTTATAGTCCAGGTGAGCAGCCATCACGCTACAGCCTTGACTGCTGTGCTGGTAATAGTTACGATAATGCAGCTTCAGGAAACATCCAGGAGAGAGAAATGATTGATTAGATGTAGGGATGAAGAAGGGATTTAAAAACAACCCTAAGGTTTCCCAGTGCTGGAGATGCAGTGAGAGGTGGTGGCCCTGAGTTTTTAAGCACAAGAGGGAGAAGAAATAGGATGGGTAAATCTCAGATCACCAAACAACCAAGGGTTTTTGAATTATTAATTTCGTGGATGACATGACTTACATGGAAGCAAGAAATGCCAAATTGAGTACAGAAACGCTGTTTAAAGATAAAAACATCAGAAAGTAGAAAACTAAGAGGTCAGAGGGAATTGTGTAACCAAAGCCCGGTCTTCCTAGTTTTATCATATAAGCAAATTAGACAATAAAAAATATAGCACTGAAATATAATTACTCTATACTGTTGAAGTCCTTTATATTTGAGGCAAAGTTGCTTCTTGCTTATCGCTGGAAATGAGTTCACAGCCTTGCAAATTGGAACTCTGAGTCCATTTTTCTAGACATTATTACAGAAGTTGTCCTGGCCTTTTAATGGCTCTGGGACTTTGGGCGCAGATGTCATTATGCTTTCCCTGTAAAAAGTCTCAGCTATGGTAGACAGGATGAGCAAAGAGCTAGTGACACAAAGCATTCAGAACTCTCTGGGAACACTAGACATTTTAATTTGGCCATGAAGAAAGACAAAAAGCTGAAAAGTCCCTTTTGGAGTAGGTTAAAGAGGGCCTTGAAAATCCAGCTGAGGGGTTTATACTTACTTGGTGGGCGAGTGAAGGTTTTTAGCTAAAGAATTTGGGCATTGGAACTTTATTTTTAAAAGATTAGCTACGAGGTTGTATTGATTGCGGTTGTATTGTATTAATTGATTGCAGTGGGAAAGTCAGAGAGTGAGGAGATAACGTAGAAGATTACTGTAACAGTTTACCTTTCCATATACATAGAGGACTGTACACATAAAACTAATACCTAGATTTTACTTAATATGCAGCCAAAGGTGCTAAAGAGACAATTTACAGGTAGAAAAAATAGAGATTAAAAAATACAATATGCAAAGATACACAGCCTCACTAGCAGTTAAAGAAATGTGAAATACAATGAATTTAAGTTAGAGTATACAACTCATAATTTAAATATATACAGCACTATTAGCAGGAATATGAAAAGCCCACTTAGACACTGCCAGTATCAGTGTAAACTAATTCAATCTTTCCAGAAAGCAAGTTAGCAACAATAATAGTGTTTTTGTATTTGTATCCAGTATTTCTAGTCTGAAAAGAAACACTCAAATAGAATAACTTCTCCCAAAGAAAAAATATATTTGCACTGAAATATTTTCAGTGGTACATCCATGAAACTAAAAACTGGAAAGCAATTTAAATGTCTACTATTTAAACAATGGTATATTGTACGCTTTTTTTTTTTTTTTTTTGAGACGGAGTCTCGCTCTGTCTCCCAGGCTGGAGTGCAGTGGCCGGATAGCTCACTGCAAGCTCCGCCTCCCAGGTTCACACCATTCTCCTGCCTCAGCCTCCCCAGTAGCTGGGACTACAGGCGCCCGCCACCTCGCCCGGCTAGTTTTTTGTATTTATTAGTAGAGACGGGGTTTCACCGTGTTAGCCAGGATGGTCTCGATCTCCTGACCTCGTGATCCGCCCGCCTCTATGCTTAACAGTCATTTAGAATGACAAATATGTGAGTCTACAAACTCATTTGACATTGAAAAATCATTTATTGAGTGCCTACTACATGCCAGACAGAATTAGGTATATGTGCTAAGGATACATTAAAGAACAAACATATAAAAATCTCCACTCTGATTGAAGTTAACTCTGGTGGCAAATATATGGAATATATATGCAGAAAAATGGTAATCAAAATTGCAGAAAACATCAAAATATGCACAGGGGTTATAATGCTATATAATATATATGCATCGACTTAACATTTTATTTAGAAACAATTGTGTTTAATGTTCATTTGATTATTTTTGTTTAATAACATAAGTTAATTGATTTAAATGTTAAAATGTTGAAATGCCAAAAATGCTTTCTATTCTAACTGGGAACATCCAACAACTCATTTCAGTAATTATCTAGAATTATTCATTATTATTGTTTTTACTCATTTATTCTAACATTAAATTAGTGACTGCTTCTATTTTAATGGAGGAGCCAGGCAAGTTAAAGGTCATCAGTACAGTGTAATGCATGCCATAATAGGGAGAAAGAAAGGGGACGTTAACCTCAGATGCCTAATTCATCAAGGGAGATGAGCAATAAGTTGACATATCAGGACACAGAGAAGCATGCACTGCAGCAGCCAGTGCACAAAGAGAAGAAGCATGAGCTGCGCTTGAGGAGCTTACAGTCTCATAGGACAATGATCCATGTCTACACTTGATCTAAATGGGCTCATATTTAAAATAAAAGCATTGTCAAAAAACTAAAGTGTTTTGACAGTGTGTCCTTTTCTCTTATTTCAGATTCTTCCTGAAGCCAGTGGGTTTTGAGATACATCCATCGGTAAAATACTTGTCACAGGCATTGTTTGGTGAGTCTGACATTTGAACATGGCAAGCATCGCCCTCCGAAACCTACGATAAAAAAAGGAAAATTTGGCATTAACTCATAATGATTTGTAACTTCTAAAGCATTTGCAAGTATGGCTAAGATGCCACTACTGCCAATTTACATCTCTGGATAAATTTCTGCCTCCAACTTAACATCTCCTGTTGAGAACCTTTATAAATATATAAAGTGTATGGTAGAGTTAAAACCCATTTTGCACTATTGATTCTATAGATTTCCTATTGAGAAACTTTATAAATATATAAGGTATATGGTACAGTTAAAGGCCAATTTTGCATCATTGATTCTATATATTGAAGACATCTAATAAAAGTAAATAATTGTATGTATTTAAAAGGATGCTACCAATGTCAAGTGCCATGAGTTGTTTATTTGAACTAACAATGTGTGTTTCATCCATCTGTTCTTCCCAGCAAGAATTTTCCAAAAGAACTACCAGCAGATTCTGAATTTAAAATGTGTTCATCATTCTTCTTATGTGGTCTGTTTGGGCTGTAAAATTTTATGTTTCTTCATATACCTGTAACTACAGCTGCTTTTCCAAACATTGTCATTCCAGGATAAAATTACCTGACCTCAGCTGGGTGTGGTGGCGCACGCCTGTAATCCCAGCACTTTGGGAGGCCAAGACGGGTGGATCACAAGGTCAGGAGTTCAAGATGAGTCTGGCCAAGATGGTGAAACCCCATCTCTACTAAAACTACAAAAATTTTCCGGGCGTGGTGGTGGGCAACTGTAATCCCAGCTACTCTGGAGGCTGAGGCAGGGAATTGCTTGAACCCATAGGCGGAGGTTACAGTGAGCTGAGATTGCGCCACTGCACTCCAGCCTGGATAGAGACTCCGTCTAAACTTCATTGAGGAGGCAGGAAGGGAACATTTTGCTGAGAAACCCAAAAAAGAGAGGAGGTAAGAATTCTCTAGTATCCAGATGCCTTTTATGTTGGGACTAAACTTTTCCCTTGCATTTGAATGATATGTCTTATTTCTTGTAAGTATACATCTATGCTACCCACCAAGTGAGCCCAACGTTGCCCTGTCCATTTTCCAGTAATAAAATCACTCTTTTCTTTGGAAACCACTATTCCATGTATTTGGGATGGGAGTAACCATTTGAACTAAGCTGACCACTGACATCCCAGGGGCTTTTCTGCCAGAGAGCCATGTGAGATGCAGTTGGTATTTGGGGATGCTTAGCTGGTAGAACTTGGGTCTTGGGTTACCCACAGTCATCTCTGCCACTGTGTGGGAAGAGTCTGTAACAAATCTGGAGCTCTGGGCATTTAAGGGTCTAGATGCTGCTCCAGTCACATGAGGCAAATGACCTTTATGCTAGATTGAAGTGGGTTTCTGTCACTTCTCTCCCAAGAAATCTTAACATTCTTTTTATATCAGTTTTATTTTGTATTGCAAGCATTTTAGACATTACTTACTTTTTATTAGCAACCACGTAAATGCAGGGGTTATAGAATGTAGAAGATTTTGCAAACAGTGGAGCTATGATGGCCATGGGGGGAGGAATCTTCTTTGGGTCACCAAAAGAAGCCCATAAGCACACGATGGAATAAGGGGACCATGCCACCAGAAACATGCAGATCATGATCACAGACATCTGAAAAGAAATAGATATTCACCAAGCCCAATATCTAAAATATTTAAATATTAATATATCTAAAGTAGGGTAAAAAGCTATCTAGGTTGGAATTTGAATATGTTTATGTTGTTGATGATATAAAGGAAATAGCTGAGTTTTTTTTGCCTTTGATGTTGTTTGTTCAAGTGCCTGAAGTCGACTATGATAATAAGACCTTGTGAAATGGGTATATCAAGAATATATAACATTGCTTTTAAGAATGGTACATACACATAAAAGAATGCCCTCTTTCTTTCTGTATGCTAGGGGAGAGTACAAAAGCTGACTTTGATGAAAGACAGATAAAAACCCACCCCACCCCACTTCACATCATTATGCTATGAACTGCTGGCATGGCTATTATTATTATTATTACCATCATTATTATTTGTTCTTACTGGGATTATCTGCTAAACTAAAAAAAGTAACTTTCTAACTTTCTAAATTCAATGTGGAAACAAATACAATCCTATCTTGAGCTCAGTGAATTCTAACACAGGCCATTTCAACTGGATATATATTATACACAATGCAGATAATTTTGTAAAGGAGGTCTCTTGCATCTTGTTTAAATGAAAAAATTATATTTTTATCTTTCTTCCCTAGGTTTTCTGCTAAAATTATGGAACAGAGGTTAAAGAAGACAAAAAACCCTTAAGGACAGAGAATCAGAGATTAGACAATACATATTTTTTAATGGAAACAATGACCATTGGACAAGATGCAAATTATGTAAGGAACATGAGAATAATTTTATAAATAAGTAAATGAATAAATGCTAAAAAGAGCCAACTATGAGGGAAAACCAGATACCACAATGCTACAGAGCAACGGATATTCTAGTAACAAAGGATACCAGAAAACTCTGGATGTGGGGGTGCACATGGAGCTCAAAATAGAACTGGTTGAAATCTACAAAGTCGCCGGGCACAGTGGCTCAGGCCTGTAATCCCAGCACTTTGGGAGGCCGAGGCGGGTGGATCACGAGGTCAGGAGATCGAGACCATCCTGGCTAACACAGTGAAACCCCGTCTCTACTAAAAAAAAAATACAAAAAATTAGCCAGGCTTGGTGGCAGGTGCCTGTAGTCCCAGCTACTCAGGAGGCTGAGGCAGGAGAATGGCATGAACCCGGGAGGCGGAGCTTGCAGTGAGCGGAGATTGCATCACTGCATTCCAGGCTGGGCCATAGAGCGAGACTCCGTCTCAAAAAAAAAAAAAAAAAAAAAAAAAAGAAGTATTAGTTAGACGTCCAAATCTTTCTGCCTGTCCACTCAGTCTACCCAGTAACTTCCCCTTCCTCTCCCTGGAAGACTTCCAGAGCTCAGTATTTAAAAAAAAAAAAAAGAAGAAGAAGAAGAAGGCTAATTTGGGAAACTCAGGACACAGGGACACCAGGTTCAGCTAAGCACTTCAGTACTGTGTTAAAAAGAGGTATATGTGTGCTGCCCCCTCCTTGTGAAGAAACTTGGAGATAGACTTGTACCTCCCACCTAGGAACATGAAAGGAATTCTGCCCAGAATAAAATACCTAGAGATACAGTTACCTGGACAGTTAGAAATTCCCCCCAAATCTCCATTCCATCATTTTAACAGGATATCAGGAGGGAGCAACATGAAAAAGACAATTTTTCCTTTTAAACAAGATACAAAAGAGCTCCTTTACAAAATTATCTGCATCATGTATAATACACATCCAGCAGAAATTGCCTGTGCTAGAATTCACTGAGCTCAAGATAGGATTGTATTTGTTTCCAGGTTGAGTTTGGAAGTTAGAAAAAAAAATTTTTTTTGACTAACAGATAATCACAGTGAGAGAATAATAATAATGATGACGATGGTCATAATAATAACTACAGAGACAATTAGAAATTCCCCCAAAAGAAACATCTCACTAATAAGCATATCCATGCTTACAATGAACATTTTTAATGCATCACTCTTAAGTATGAAGGAACAATCATTGACCACCAGACCTTAAGAAAACTTTTACATTGACAGGCAAAGAAAAAAAAAAAAACAGTGCAAGAACTCAGGGGAAACAAAAACATGTGGTAAACAGAAGGAAATATAAATATATACATAATGTCACAGAAATAACAGGAGATATACATCCATAAAACAAGGAGAGAATAGAGTATAAAATAGCTGTTTTATCAACAAAAATGGTTTTTAACTCTAGAAGAGAACCCAGGCAATACCATTCAGGACATAGGCACAGGCAAAGATTTCATGATGAAGATGCCAAAAGCAATTGCAACAGAAGCAAAAATTGACAAATAGGATCTAATTAAACTAAAGAGCTTCTGCACAGCAAAAGAAACTATAAACAGAGTAAACAGACAGCCTACAGAATGGGAGAAAATTTTTGCAATCTGGGCATCTGACAAAGGTCTAATATCCAGCATCTACAAGGAACTTAAGCAAATTTATAAGAAAAAAACAAGCAACCCCATTACAAAGTGGGCAAGGGACATGAACAGGCATTTCTTAACAGAAGACATACATGCAGTCAACAAACATGAAAAAAAAAAAAAGCTCATCACTGATCATTAGAGAAATGCAAATCAAAACCACAATGAGATACCATCTCATACCAGTCAGAATGACTATTAATAAAAAGTCAAAAAATAACAGATGCTGGTGAGATTGTGACAAAAAACACTTTTACACTCTTGGTGGGAGTATAACTTAGTTCAATCATTGTGGAAGATTGTGTGTGGCAATTCCTCAAAGACCTGGAGACAGAAATACCATTTGTCCCAGCAATTCTTTTACTGAGTATATACCCAAAGGAATATAAATCATTCTATTATAAAGACACATGCAGATGTATGTTTATTGCAGCACTATTCAAAATAGCAATCATGGACATGACATGAAATTAACCTAAATTCTCATCAATGGTAGACTGGATAAAGAATATGTGGTACAATGCAGCCATAAAAAGGAATGAGATCATGTCCTTTGCAGGGACATCGATGGAGCTGGAGGCCATTATCAAACTAATGCAGGAACAGAAAACCAAATACCATATATTGTCCTTATAAGTGGGAGCTAAATGATGAGAACACATGGACACACGGCAGAAGCAACGCACACTGGGGCCTGTCAGAGGGTAGAGGGAGGAAGGAGGGAGAGGATCAGGAAGAACAGCTAATGGATGGATGGGCTTAATACCTGGATGATCTGGGCAGCAAACCACTATGGCACACATTTACCTATGTAACAAACCTACACATCCTGCACATATACCCCTGAACTTAAAATAAAAGTTGGAATTATTTTTAATGGTTTTTACCCTATCTGTAAAAGTGAGAGTAGAATGTTAAAAATGTAATAGAAAGGTTGTATGATATTATCAGGTTAGGATCAAGGGGAGGTGAATCAGGTGAATTATATAGGTGCAGGGTCAGATCCTGTTTTTATTTAAAATTTCTATTTTGTTCAACATAATTTTTACGTTAACTTTTTTAAGTACTAGATTAAGCCACTTTTTTTTATTAATGAGTTTTTTGGGGCTTGCTTGCATTTTGCACCCAAGGGTTGACCTTCACTATCCTCACCCTTATCCTAGACCTAGATATGATTGAGCAAATCTCCCAGAAAGTAGAAACAAAAAGAAACAAACAACCACCACAAAAGAGACAAACAAAAATAGACAATATAGGAGAGAAAATTTAAGAAAATTAGAAGATAAATCTAGCAAATTAAATATCTAAATAAAAGGAATTCCAGGGAAAGAGAAGAGAAAAAACCAGAGGGACTGGAATCATCAGAGAAATCATGAGAGAAATCTCCTAGAAGAGCAAGATGGGAGTCTCCACACTGAAAGAACTCACCAAGTACCCAGTGCTGGATAAATACTCATACCAAGGTGCATCAGTATACATTTTCAGAGAACTAGAGACATAGAGAAGATCCTATAAGCTTCCAGAGAAAACCCACAGATCACCACAGAGCATCAACCACCAGAATGCCATCAGCCTTTGTAGCAGCAATACTGGAAGCTAGGAGACACAGAGTGATACCTTCAAAACTCTTTGAATATTACTTTTGCACCTAGAATTCTAGACCAGGCAAACAGTCAGTCAATATGATACTAAAATTAAGACAATTTCAGTCATGCAAAGTCTTAAAAATATTACCTCTCCCATAACTTCAGGAATTAATTGAAGAATGTGCTCCACCAAATCAGAGGAAATAGTAAACTAAGAACAAGAAGGGAAAAAAAAGGAAGACAAGCATTCCAGAAAACAGGGGATTTGACCCTGGAAGGAGGTGAAAGCATCCTGAGCTGATGATGAAGGGAGACCTGAAGATGTTGGCTTTCTGAGCAGCGGTCCTCAGGAGCAATCAGTTCAAAGCAGAGCAGGAGGCCCCAGGGAACCAGGAGGATGGCTCCAAGAAGAGGATAAGGTTCATCACATCTGTGGTGTGTTTAAACATACTGACAGCAGAGAAAGAGCCTCTTTATCTAACCAAATATTGTTAACATTACACTGACAGATAAGGAGGGAGAAAGGTATGGAGGAGGAGTTGGGCAGGTGGGTGGTGTAAGAGAATAAATCCTCATCATCCACAGTAGGAAATCAAGAAATGATGGCCAAAAATATATCCAAAAGAGCAAACAGCATATGATTCAGAAATAAGAAGGCAAGTGGCCAGGCGCAGTGGCTCACCCCTGTAATCCCAGCACTTTGCAAGGCCGAGGTGGGCGGATCACCTGAGGTCAGAAGTTCAAGACCAGCCTGGCCAACATGGTAAAACACCATCTCTACTAAAAATACAAAAAATTTAGCTGGGCATGGCGGTGGGCGTCTCTAATCCCAGCTACTTGGGAGGCTGAGGCAGGAGAATCACTCGAACCCGGGAGGCAGAGGTTGCAGTGAGTTGAGATCATGCCATTGAACTCTAGCCTAGACAATAAGAATGAAACTCCCTTTCAAAAAAATAAAAAATAAGGAGGCAAACACAGAAGAAAGATCTGGGAAGTGAGAGATGGAGATGAGGGAGAGAAGACTGCGGTGGTCCCAGGGACTCTTTCAACTATGAGTGGGTAAAAGCTCCATGACAACAATTTTTCAAGGATTTTGGCCTCTTACCTTTGTTACATCTATCTGATCTGACCATTCTCTGTTGAGGGACTCAGTGCAGTCACTGGTAGCGTGATGTTTAATGGATAGTGTGACATGGTAATAGCAGTAAAACATCACTGTCAAGGGCACAATAAAATTTATCGCAATAACCGTCATGGTGTAAGACACAAAAGATCTGAAAATAAGAAAAGGCAATCATGATTGTTCATTTAATGTCCTAAGCGGGGAAAGGGGAAAGAGGAGATAATTATTAAAAATAATATTGGTAGTCACTGTATTGTTAAACAGTTTAAGAAGTGTATTTGACTTTTAGTTCATTTAGGCCAGAAATTGGCAAACTATGGACTGTAGGCCTATTCCAGCCTATTACTCATCTTTGTAAATAAAGTTTTATTGGAACACAGCCATGTGCCCTCATTTACATGCTGGCTATGGCTGCTTTTACAGGATGATGACAGAGTTGAAGAGCTGTGATAGAGACATCTGGCCTATAAAGTCTAAAGTATTTACTTTTAATTGCTTTCAAGACAGAATCTTGCTCGGTCACCCAGGCTGGAGTGCAGTGGTGCAATCATGTCTCACTGTAGCCTTGAACTCCCCAGCTCAAGCCAATCTCCATTTTAGCCTACCAAGTACCTGAGACCACAACCTGTTTTCAATTTTATTGATTTCTGGTATTTTCCGCCCCCAACTTTTTTTTTTTTTTTGTAGAGACAGAGTCTCAATATGTTGCCCAGGCTGGACTCAAACTCCTGGGCAGAAGTGATCTTCCTGCCCCAACCTCACAAAGTGCTGGGATTACAGGCATGAACCACTGTGCCCAGCCTTTACTTTTTGAATCTGCAGAAAAAATTTTAGATTTAGATCTGGTCTGAGATTTAGAAATTTTCTGTTCATTTTTAAGTCATCCTTCATTTCCTTTAATGAACTAAAATATCCTCTTGTTCCTGGAAAATATATAGAAGCCTCACTAACTAGCAGGTAAATCTTTGCAGTGACTGTACTTTTGCTATGCAGTTCTCAGAATGTGCTTGGACACCAGACCATCTTGAAAAGACAGCAGAGAGGCAGCCTGGGCTTTTGCCAGAGCCGCACACTCTATCTAGCTTCACTAACCCTTTTCCTGCTCATGATCCTACCTTTGAGATGTGCAAATATTGGAAGGGTGATTGGTACCCTGCATTGCTGCTTTAAGAGAGAACACAGGGGAGGGAGGAAGGAATGGGGTAAAGGAGACACAGTGAGATGGATGACCTTTACTTGCAAACAAGCATAAGTCACTTTTCTCAATTCCGACTTTTGCTAGAATCACATTATCACTACCAAGGAAGCACTTTGCCACCTTCTGTATGAGGAACACATGATCTGAGCTTAAATTTGAAGGGGTGAGAAAATGTCTACACTAGAAGCATTTGATTATAAAGTGTAAACTTCTCTCTTACCTATCATTTTTCCTCCAGTTTATGGTACAAGTAGCACCAGTAGGATCTGGGGCATAACTAGCCCACCCTATGATAGGCATCAAAGCCCAAAACAGGCCATTGACCCAGGCTCCCAGAATCATGCCAATGTAAGTGTTGGTGGTCATTCTTCTCCCTATTATCAAGCATAGGAAATATTAGCAGCATTTGTCATTAATGGGACTCACTTTTTTAAACTTGCTTGATTCACAAGTGTTATCAAGTAGATTCTTTACAGAGCACTTTGGTGGGCCTCAGGAGCCAAAACATGCATGCAACGCCAAATAAAAGTAACAAATATGTTCTCCCTTTTTACCAAGCCTATCTACATACGTTCACATTCTGGAAAAAAAATGACATTTAAGCTGAAACCTAAATGAGAAAAGACTCAGTCAGAGGATAAGCAGGAAGAGTAGCTTTCCAGACCTAGCAAAACAGTGGATACGAAGACCTCACTTTGGGCTTGGTCCATACCTCAAAGTGTGAATGACCTTATGAAATTTGGATTTTATTCTAAGTACGATAGGAAGCCATTGAAACATTTGAACAATTATTGCCAGAGAAATAAAACTGACCCTAACTACAAACCATTAGGTTTATATTTTAGCGTATATATTGAGTGGCCATTAGTCAAGAAATGGATTCATTAAGAAAGCTGAGAAAAGTGTTGTACCTATGTCAGGAAGGCAGATGGTCAGGTATCGGTCCACGGCCACAACAGTGAGTAATCCAATGCTTGCCATTCCAAAAAAAATATTCAATCCAGCATAAACCTGAAAACCAAAATTGAAAATACTCTACCATTCTAAACACCCTCCCAAGAAACATTTAGATTTTTGTACCATTGTTAGAATATATCTCAAATATACTAAATGTTTTTTACTACTTTAAAAGACATCTTCATTGTCAAATTATAACTAGTTTAATAAAAATTTATGGAAAGTATTTTGTAATTTCATTAACTAAAATGAACTTTTTTCAAAATTTTAAGACTTACAGTGAAATTTCGTTACAACACTCTATGAACAGAGTGCAGAACAACCACAAACCAGCAAAAGACTAGTATTCAGAAGATGGGCAATTCAACAGGAGAAAAAGACAAACTCAATAGAAAAATGGCCAGAATGAATGGGGTATGCACAAAAGCCCACTGGCATTTGAATGTTTATAACATAAGACATGCAACCACAATAAATATTCAAAGAAATGCTGATTATAAGATGGCATTTTACACTCTTGAAAATGAAAATTTAAAAGTCTGACAATCCCAAGTATTAAAGAGAATGTGGAGTAATAGATGTTCTCATAATTTGAATAACTATTTTGGACAGCAATTTGGCTACTTCTGATAAAGTTGAAGATGAACATTCTCTACAACTTAAACCATTCCACTCCTAGGTAATGTGTCTGAAGAAACTCACATATTGCAGAAGGAGACGTATATAAGAACATTTATTGAAGCCTTATCTGTGATAGAAAAAAAAATGGGAACAAGTGTCCAATAAGAGTAAAATGAAAAAGTACATTGGGCTATCTATGTTCATAAAATGGAATATTGTATAGCAGTCAAAATGAATGACTTACAGCCATATCCATCAACATGGATAAACCTCAAAAACATAATATAGAACAATGAAAGGAAATCACATAATGCAAACAATGTTATATCATTTACACAAAACCTACAGTATTCAGACAGTATCTGGTTTATGTGCAAATATATAAGATAGGAAAACATTCATGAGAGGAATAAGATTGAGGATGGTATGCCATGGCCTTCATCATTATCTGTATAGTTTTATGTCTTTAAAAAGGAAAACAATCTGAAGCACAGATTGAGGAACGGTAAGACTTAACAAAACTGGTTGGTACTTACGTGGATATTCAGTATTCACTACTACTTTCATTTAATTCTCTATAGTTTTTAGCTTATAATAGTAAACCGCTAAAAGAATTAGGCCAAAAGTAATATTTGCCTACTATCTTAAAGCAAATTAATATTAACTCATTTCCTTTTTAGTAAAAAATAACAAATACATTTAGTAACAATTCTCATGGAGGACTTTCTATAGGAAAAAAATTCAACAACATGGTGACTTAACTGTCATCCATTAAATCACTAAATATTGCTTCAGATGAAAGCAGGGTATTTCTTTTTCAATTTGCAATATGCACATTTTTATTTAAATATGCAAATCAGCACTCTTCTTTAGTTGAATGCTAGTTGTTTTGTTTGTTTCTTCCTTTGGGTTGGGAGAATTTTGAAAATATAACAATGGTTGGTGGTTTTATTTCTCTTATTAAACAATATATTGCTAGTCACTTCTGAAGTTCTTTTCTGTAAAAGTGCTGTGTCTATTATCCTACAATATCTTTTTCGATTTAAACTCTTGGGATTCTTTTTAGACATTTAAATTTACATTTCTTTGATCTATTTGTTTTGCTTTCATTCCAATGATCTCCAATACCTGACAGCCTGCATATCCAAATTTCCAACTTCCATACAGATCTGAGGCAGCAGACATGGGATAGCCAATGCTACTGACCCCTATATCAGTAACAGCCAGGTTAATAATAATTGCATTTGTGGGTGTCCGAAGTTCCTTGTACTTAATGAAGATGCCCAGAACTATTATGTTGCTGAGAATACTTATCATACCTGAGAACACATACAAAAATATGATGCATTTTGTTTAATTTGAATGTTTCAAAGTAGACTCAAAATTAAATATTTAAGCCCCTTTAAAAACATAACAGATCTATTTTTGTTCATTTATTTGAAGAGCTCCTGCTGTTCTTAAAACTGTAACATCTTCACATCCCTTCTGTGAAATAGAAATGAGAAAATTAAAACACAAAGAATCTGCCAATTGCACAAGGCAGCACTGAAGGCTGGTTTTAATGTCATCACTACTGAGTGAACTGTCCTTGAAACTCCTTCACTGGCTGTCATACCATTCCTGCTGATTTTTGGAACAAATATATGATGGACCTCTTTTTGGCAGCTTAACTTCCTCCTCTTCCTTCCTGGGGCCTGGGACTCTTCTTTTTCCATAGTTGCCTTTCTCAAGCTTCAATTATCATTTTATCCTCACAGCACTTTTGTCACTATTTTCAGCCATGACACAAGCTCCAGTTCCACATTATTTTTCATTCAACTCATTGTCATTTACTAAGCATCTACCATATGTAAGATTATATGACTATTCCAGTATTTCTTGAAACTCAACATATCCAAATTCTTCATTCCAACACACACACAGAGACACACACACACGCACAAGCACACCCCTACCCCAATAGAAGAATGCATACTACAAGACTTGTCTATCCAGAGAGGAAGTTGAGCCAGCTTTTTGGCCAGCTTAATTTGGTGATACCACCTTAATTAAGTTTCTGACTCTTTGCTTGCAGGTCCAGAACCTCAGTGTTGTCAGTGCCCCAGACTGGTTGCATTGAGGTAGACGGGTAACTAAACTTATTAACCAGAATGCCACTGTATTATTTTACACTGAGAAATACTGTTGAGTGTACTGGATGTGCATGTTTAACATCCCCTACATGCTGTAAAGGGCATAAGCCAGATATGGGCTGTACTAGATCCTAAAGGGGTGTGAGGGGGTGGGGTGTGAGTAGATTTCAGTCAAGAAGCTAGAATCATTACTGGATTGTTAGAGACTAAAGGAGGGTTGTGCAACAAGCAGGAATAGAGTTGAGTTCCCCATCGAGAAAAGAATTACTTGATGATCGATCCCCAATTATTGTCAGAGAGGGACAGTTTCCAAGCACCAACATACAACAATATCAGCTCAGTAAAAACTTTTATCATATATTGGCACTTCAGTCAGAACTTCTGCCTTAGCCTGTTACACTAACCTTCCAGATTCCTGTTCTTTTCCCCTTCTTGCTTCTGGCAGAATCAGCTTGCTATAACATAGACTTAACCATGGTTCTTCTCCTCCCAAAAACTTGTAATATTCCCCACTGGCTGTGGGATAAAAATCCAAATGTCTCAACCTGATATTCCAGGCTCTTTGCCTCAATCTGCTGTCACTCTCCAGAAGCACATTTCTACACTTGTCAAGCGAACTCTCCATTCCAGTTTTTCCCCAGATACACCATGCTTGACTCATATTTCTCCCACTTGGAGCACCCTGCTCCTTCCCTCTGCCTATCCAAATGCCATCCATCCTTCAAACCAGTTCAAGCCCCTAAGCCTTCTCTTACCCACACTATCCTCTCCTCCCTCAATTTCCAAACTACTTGCTTATGATTAACTTAGTCTTATGTAACGCTATATAATTTAACTGTTACTTTTCCTAGTCTTTTCGTGTAGATTTCAGGCTCCTCATGATTTCTGTGGTTTTTGAATATGTGACATACGCTTTATTTATTTAATAAGTGGGCTACAACTAAAACCTATATTGCTTAATTTCTATAATTCCTTCAAGATAATTAGAACACAATGACAGAAAATTTGATGAATCTTTGGCCCTATTTTTAGCATCTAGGATTGTAGCATGTATACAAGATATACTCCAAAGAATTTAATGAAATGAAGACTTTGTGGGCTAGCTACAAATTCAATGATTTGTTTTTAAAGTTAGATAAAAACAGTGCAGTAAATTGCTGCCTACCAAGTACGCAACCAGAACAAAGGAACTATAATTCTGGGAGTCTTACAAATAATGGGAGGTATGAAGTAAGCAGTTTAGCCCATTCTCTCTGCAGCTGTGCCAAGCACGCTGCCTTGTTTCCACAGCTGTAGGTCTTCTAATGGGTATATAATAGATCACCTAGTCGTTAGATTTTAGTTAAGTCCCATCTCACAGTCAGTCTAAATGCTAAGTAGCACTTGATGTTGACTTCTCCTTCACTCTTGAAACATTTTCCCTCTTGTCTTCTGTGACTTCTATCCAATCTCTTCAACAGACTCTTCTTGATCTACTTCCTGGCCTTTGTTTCTCCATCTGTGTCTTATTAAATATGTGCATTGTCCAACCTTCTGTCCTAGACCCCTTTCTTTTCACATTTAACACATACTCTGAGTGATTTCTTCATACCCAAGGCTATACCCTGATACTTTTCAGCCTCCGGACACTCAAACCCATATGTCCAGCTTTTTATTGAACACCTCTCAAATTGAACTGAGAGATTTTTTCTCCTGTCTCAAACCTATTCTTCCCCAAGTGTGTTCCTATCTTGATGAAGAGCATCACCATCTATTCAGTAGCTCAAAAAAGAAACCTAGGCGTCATCTTCGATACTTCTCTCCTTTTCCCACAATCCCATCATCCATTCATCAATTCTACCTTCTAGCTCTTGAATGTATCTACTTCCTTCTGTCCTCACTGCCATTACTCCCTCCTCAGAATCACTGCAATGGCCTCCTATGTGGTCTCTTAGCTACCACTATAGCACATTTCTAAAATGCAAATCAGATCATGTCACTCTCGTTTCAAACGCTTCAGTGACTCCCTGTCACCTTTAATACTTACATGGCTTGTCACTGTCTGGTACTCAGCCATCTTTTTCGATCTATCTCTTACCCTTCATTTTACAGTTCATCCATAATGATTTATTTCAGATCCTCAAATTCACCATGTGCTCTTACCTCCCAGCCTTAATTGGGGAAAGGGAGAGTGTTCAATGACACAATAAATTAACAAAACGTCTGTTGCACTGGAAGTTGTAACAGTTTATAGGAGCCAAAATCTAAATGAAGTATCAAATTAACCATTAAATAAAAAACAAAAAAATCTAAATAGGCTCTTGGTAAAAGTAACAAATGAAATAAATGCTTTCACTATACCCTTTCCTCATAGTTTTGGTTTTGATTTGCGAGTTTACGTGAGTTTTATTAAAGGAGGAAAGTTAGGGGATTTAAAGAAAAATAGATGCTTGATGCAGGGGCAGAACAAAAGCATAAAGAGGTCAGATATGCTTTCTTCAGTGGATCCACCAGAAACACAAGCAAATAACACACACTCATTGTATATACCTTGATAAAGCTGACTCGGATTTATATGTGAGGGCTGTAGAACCAAAATGCCTGGGTTCAAATCCTGCTGTAGCTACTTAGTAGATGTGTGTGTTGGACAAGTTTCTTAAGCTCTTCATCTATATAAACTAGAGAAATAAAACTGAAGAGTAACTAACTTACTGAATTAGTGTAAGGATGAATTATTCTGTATGTGTAAGGTTTTACAACAGTGCTTGGTATATAGCAAGTATTCAAATAACTTAGTAGCAGTAGTAAGATTACTATTATTACTACTGTTACGGAGATAAGAACTAAGTAGAATATTTTCTGCATGCTAATTTTGTAACCAGGTCAAAAAAGGATAGTTTGAGTTGGTTTTTTTTTTTTTTTTTTGCTCATCTACAAATAACTAAACCAAATACTTGTATACAAGGTATTTCCATGTAATTTTTATGAGATTTTCTCAGTCTTTTTTGCAATTACAAAAAAATTAGAACTTGTCTAGTACTTATCATACAGAGGTATTCAAATGAACAAGATAACACGTCACTAAAATCACAAAACTTAACTGAGGAGCTCAATTTCTAGCACTAGAAGTAATACGCTGAATTATAAGGAAGAAACTAAACAATTATAAACTGGGTATAGGATGATGTGTTATACTTTTCACTCTACTTTTGAATATGTTTGAAAATTTTTATAAAAGTCAATGCAAAAAATAATGAACTCAATATAACAGAGTTAATTCTAAAACTCATTAAAGTTAAAAATTAAGTGATTACTCAATACAAAAGTTACACAATTCAATGACACATTAAAAGGTAAAAAGTTTCTACTGTCATTCCCCCATCCCTTTTTTTCTGCAAACAATCCTTTACATTAGTGAATATGTGAGGAGGAAAGGGAAAAAGAAACAAATATTTGTCCAACACCTACTATATGGCATTTATGTGTCACTTAATTTTACTCCTTATAACAATCATGACAGGTAACTGATTCTTATGCTTGTTTTACAGATGAGAAAACGGAAGAACAAAAAGGAGAAGAAACTTGCTCACAGTTGCAAGTATACTAAAAGATGAAATCCAAAACTCAAGAGTTTTCCAATAAGCATTCTGGAACAAGCTGAATTTTCAGACTCTGTCCTCAATGACAATATACTCTGCTCTGTCTTCTTAGGACTTTTTCTTTCCAGAACCTTTAAGTCCTTAGCTAAATTCTACCACCAATAACAAAAATATGAGGGTTATATATAAGAATAGTAAATGATGCTAAAAATACATTTTTGCCATGGTGCATACTCTTCTCCAATAAAAACTTTGACAATGCAGTAACCAAATACATAGGTTTTTATAAAAGAACTATTTATTACATAGAAAACTTTTCTCAGCCCCACTTCACTGCTCTTATGTTATTTATCAAAATTCAAAATAACCTGTGACAATAGCCATCACTAACAATGTTTTCACTTATTCTTTCACCCACATTCTCTTATTTGATCTTTACAGCCCAGAAATAGAATATCATCATCCTCATTTACCAACGAGCAAGCCAAGTCAGGATAAATGACTTGTCGAGGTTGGCCAATAATATGGAACCTGAAACAATGCATGCCTTATGCTGAAAACTTCTGCCTTTCTTCGCCTATTCTAAAGAAAGATAACTGTTAATTAAACATCCATACCTGCCATAATCAAGTAAGTTGCAACAATATTGTGTTCAGTCTGTGAAAAGACCGAGCCATCTTCATTTTTAGAGTCTGAACTGTTGCCTAAATTATTTCTTAGCATTTTGGAGGGAAGATACCGAGACACCCTTCATAATAAGCCTTCGATAATTATGAACAGTTTTACGAGCTACTGAGGAAAGATTTTTCAGGACCAATCATTTCCACTTAGAGATCTCAAAGAAGGGCCTTTTCATAGAGGCCCTCCCTTAACAGATTTAATTGGACTAAAGAGGAAGGGATTTTAATTCCCAGAATAAGGGAAAAGCTTATTAGCAAAACAAAAAGAAATACCAAGCACCACACATTTTAACCTATTTGGGCATCAGTCTTCTTTCTAAGGAGATTATCAAGCACACACATCCCATTTAAACAATAAACAAACTCAGGAAATCAGTATAGGATCAGACTTAACTGATTTCTGCTGGAAATTAAGAGCCAGCCTTAGTCCTCTAAAACTATTCGGATTGAGGTCCCTGTTTTCTGTTGACCCTTCCAGTTTTTCCATTTCGGCTCCTTTTGTTTTTTTTTTCTTAACAATTTAAATATTAGTAATAAAGAAGTAGTCTCCTTCCAACTTCCAAATCTCACTCTCCTAAAGGTTACCAGTATTGTTTGGTGTATATCCTTTCTTACGTTTTTCTCTGCTTATACATATATTCATACAAGTGTTTGAGGTTTCCTCCACTTGTATGAATAAAATGAGGGGAAAAAAATAAGTATATATGTGTATATGTATAATGCAACTTGTTTTCCCCTAAGGCTGTATTATAAATTCCAAGTCAATAAACTCAGAATCTAATAGTCTAATTTATTAGTAGCTATTTCATAGCATGGATATAATATGATCAACTCCACCATCCACCTGTTAATTTCCCCTATAGTTTGATATGCACATGAGTAATTAATATTATCTGATAGTAATCATTGTATACTTTGCCAAAGCATCTGAATTCAATCACTGATATTGTAAAGTACAGAATAAAAATATTCTGGATTATTGCATTACAACCTGAAAACTAACCTGAACATATTTTGTTAGAATGATAAGGTATCCCTATTACCTTTTCCCCATATTCTTTATGTTATTAACATTATTAAAATCTGATTCTCCTCAGTTTCTTAAAATCAGTAAACATTACAGAAATGCTTAGATGCACCAAAGTTAATAGTGTACGCATAAAACAGAACCACTAGAGGGCTATATTTACCCACTTAGTTTAATTTCATAAATCCTAGAATGGCACAGGAGAAGCCTAAGACAATCCTTTTGCCCCAGTTATCTTGCATGTGTATAAACTCAAGATGAACAGGTTGATTTATCTGTCCCAAATCTTATAGCTACCAGTACTCACATTTTTATAAATGTAATGTTGTTATACTTATACTAGAAAAGCGAATCTCATCAGCATCGTGTCTTCAAATGACCCTAGAGCAATAAACATAATACCCAAGAGGAAATCACTCCCTTTAAAAAATCTGTCTTTTCTTTCATTCGGTATGCAAAATAAAACTTAGAATTTCTGAATTTGCTTTGGGTCATACTACCTTCCTTTTCTATAATAAGTTATACCTAGTTGTAGCATCCATGACAACGTTTCCAGAAATAATTATTCTAAAAACTGAGAAATATGTAATTTCAGATAGTCACCTTTCTGCTGCAGATGAAAATTTTGATATGAGGTATGTGCATTCGAAGTTCTTTTTTATGCTTCCTTCATGGGTGATACAGAAAAGCTATATTGGGATAAGGCTTAGAAATACATGTGAATTTGATTCAAAATGAATGCCTCAAAAAACCCAGAAACTAGGCCAGGTGTGGTGGCTCACACCTGTAATCCCAGCACTTTGGGAGGCCAAGGCAGGCAGATCACCTGAGGTCAGGAGTTCAAGACCAGCCTGACCAACATGGATAAACTCCGTCTCTACTAAAAATACAAAATTAGCCGGGTATGGTGGCACATGCCTGTAATCCCAGCTACTCAGGAGACTGAGGCAGGAGAATCGCTTGAACCTGGAAGGTGGAGGTCGCAGTGAGCCAAGATTGCATCATTGCACTCCAGCCTGGGAAATAAGAGCAAAACTCTATCTCAAAAAAACAGAAACTATAAGGAAAAAAAGGGAAAAGATGTGGAGATAAAAGCTTAAAGATGGCCAGTGACCAAAAGATACGCATAAGCTAAAAGGTAAAATCTCCAAGTGGTTTGTCTACTGATCTATACATTATCTCCATTATTGCCATTTTAGATTTATTTTTAATGTTAAAAAAAAACTGTAGAAATGTTGCACTATTATTATTTGTCCTTGGGACAATGCCATCACCCTTTGGTGCTCACTAACATCTTTTCCAAACCAAAAGCAAAAACCCTGGCCCTAACACTGCATGAAAATTTCATCACCACAGTTTTAAATCAAATAATCTCCTGTCCTAAACTGTAAAAGCATAACTGCCTACTACTGTAAAAACTGTAATTTTCAACACATTTGCTCCTCATATATATTAATTCATTCTGCTGCAATTCCATCAATCAAAAAAAGATAAAACCCCAAATACTGACAAAGACAACACTGTATGCTCCTGAAATGAGCATTCAAGAGCATTCCTCCATGAGCATGTTGATAATTTAACAAATGATACAGAAACATCATTCCTTCTGAGAAGTGAAAAATGAATGGCAGGGTAAATGGCTATCACATCATTCTAACTTGCTACCACAGTCATTTCTTTACATTCACTAGCAATGGTGACCAAAACTAATTTCATTTTTAACATCCTTACCCAGCAATCTGAACATGTAGTATGCAATCAAATATTCACGTGTAGTCAATAACACCTTAAACTTTCAGAGTCCCTTTAAAAAAGTAAAAATAACATTCAGTAAAACTTTTAATATTCATGTTGGATGAGAAAAAGTAACTGCTTTTTAAAAATTTCTTGCTACAGTTTTTCACTTGAACAGAGCTACTCCATCTTTAACACGTTACTAATATGGAAAATTTTTAAATCAATTATTAATTGCAATTAGAGAAACAGCTTAACTGATTTATGTATTAAAATACAAAAGGGAAATACAGAGCTATCTTCTCATACATAAAAGGCCAAGGTTTTGAAAGGGGGTGTTAATTTGTAAATACTCTTAAAGTACTGCTACAGCAGCCTATTTTTTAAAAGATCAGTAATACAAATAAATCCTTTTTTCGATCTGCAATTCACTGTGTTTAAGTTTTAGTTATTCCTTTCTACTTCAAAAAATGGGTTTCATTTAATAAACACACTCTAAATAACTTAAGGGAATAAAACACTTTATTTTAAAAATTCAAATATGCTTCAAATGAAAACTCCCATCCATTTATTAAGCACCCACAGAGTGCCAGGCACTGTACAAAACATTAGGAAGATTTGTTCATGCTCTTTTAGAGCAAGATTCACTATTCCATTGCTTTGCATGATGCTAACATTTTTGATCCATTGTCATAAAATGACCAAGATCTTCAAGACTTGCTCAAGAACCAAGTTTCCAATCCACAGTAGAAACAGATCATGCAGGTTAATACAGAAGTCAACTGGTGATGTCTGTCAACTGTTTCACTTAATGTCCTCTTCCTGATTAAGAGAAAATTAAAGTATTAAGGGCACAGAAAATGGATTTTTAATAGTATTATAACGTAAATCTCAAGTTTAAAATCAGCATTAGTTCCTATAATGTTTAGCAACCATACTTTACCAAATGTAACTGTCAGATTCATATATACCTTTTTTTCCAAATTAATAATAAAGCAAAACAAATTAGAATTAGGTTAAAAAACTGAAAACGCAAAAACAAGTGATATAAAATGAAACCACAAATTAGGCTAAGCAAAGAACACCATAGTGTTCCATATACCTGCTGGCAGAAAAAATTAAACTTAAGCAAAAACAAAATGCCAGATAATATCAATTCTAAAAATTAAGCAACTTAAAGATAATACCTACCTCTGAAACCACCACCTCTTCCTCCTCTGAAGCCTCCACCTCCACCTCCTCTTCCACCTCTAAAACCACCTAAAAACATTTATTAAATAATAATGCAAAATATTTAAATAGTAGATAAATAATAAACATTAACAGTTATTAACTATATAACCTCTTATACTGATAAGTCTACAAAGATCAATACAATAACTATAATTATAATGAATAAATATAGATTCACATATTTTATCACGGAAAAAATTTTACAAGACAAAAATGAAGAAACTAGTAGTTTACCAACTGGGCAACAGGTTAAATCCCCAGATTATTCAATTTCAATAAATTAGAAAAACTTGTTACTTTAAAGTATGATTCAGTCTTGTTAAATGTATGATTATTGCCTTAGCTCTTGCTTATGATAAATACTTTTTGATTCCACTAAGGATAGTTTGATGGAACTAAGGCTTTGTATCCTAAGAACAACGGATGGCAGATACGGGTGCTTTTGTTCTGGGGGCACGATAATAAATATGATAGTTAAGGTTAACTGAGCTACATAAGTAAGATTTAAAAAAAATAAGATAGTTGTGAATTTTTTGAAATGTTAAATGATACTCAACATCAAATGAGAACAGGGGAATCTCTATTTATCAAATTCTCAAGAAGGTACCCCTGAAAATTTTCCTACCTACCTGGACACAAAAAAGTACCTTTATAGAGTGAAATGATGATTAAATTGAGAGATGCCAAAATAAAGCATTCCTTCTCTTTTTCGGCTCCAGTAACAAAAGCTGTCTAAGCCCAACTTTCAGTTCCTCTCCCTTTCCACTTTGGCTCTGCCCATTACCTCATCACTCCCCGTCCTCCTACTCCCAGGGCATGGCAGTCTCACTCCCCAGAGCCCTGCTGATCACCTAGCTGCCCATAATGATGAATGTGCCAAAACCTTGGGGGAAAGGCGTACATCTAAACAGTGAGATCACAGCAATGAATTTATTAGTTCTTGACACGACATCAGAAGATATGCATTTTAATTCTGGGTCTGCCAATTGTTTGACTGGGGCAAATTAATTTCTGTAAGTCTCCATTTCCTCATTCATAAAATAAGGATATCATCTATCTCAAAAGCTTTTGCTGAGTATTAAAAGAATATACACGGAAATTAAAAGAATGTATGACCAACTTTCAGTATGCAGTCTACACTCAATGATATTAACTAAGAAATTAAAATTAAGATAATCCTATGGTTTATTAAAATGCCCAAGAAAACATGAATAACCCAAAGAAATGAAGTCCCTCAAAAGTATACTTTAGTAGATTTTTTTCTTTTTAAGCAAGTTGTTGAAATGAAGCATTATTATTATGGACAATCTGCCAATATTTGAAAACAGCTTTAATAAAAAAAACCATAAGGGACAGTTTGCTATGTACAAAGCTAAATTGTATTATATTAATCAGCTATGACTTTGAAATTTCATCAGAAATTTTCCCCAAGTAACTTACCGCCTCTTCCACCACCTCTGCCACCTCCTCCTCTTCCTCCTCCTCGGCCTCCCCTGCCACCACCTCTTGGAGGTCCTTTCTCACCTGGAGGTCGAGGTAAAAACCTCTGGAGTGGCAGCAGCTTATATGGGTCTATATAAAACTGGAAACATAATAAAAGCAATTAGTGTACGACTTGGGGGACAGTATAGTATAATCATTAAGAAGCTACATGATAGAGTCAAAACTGCCTGGGTTCAAACCCCCCCAACCCTACCACTTTCTACTATGTATCTCTGGGCAGGGACTTAATTTCTTACTACCTTAGGTTTCTTTTTTCTTTTTTTTTTTTTTTTTTTACTTTAAGTTCTGGGATACATGCGCAGAACGAACGAGCAGGTTTGTTACATGGGTATACATGTGCCATGGTGGTTTGCTGCACCTATCAACCCATCATATAGGTTTTAAGCCCTGCATGCATTCAGTATTTGCCCTAATGCTCTCCCTCCCCTTCCCCCCACCCCCCTGACAGGCCCAGGTGTGTGATGTTCCCCTCCCTGGGTCCATGTGTTCTCACTGTTCAACTCTCACTTATGAGTGAGAACATGTGGTGTTTGGTTTTCTGTTCCTGTGTTAGTTTACCTTAGTTTCCTTATCTGTAAAATGTAGACAATAGAGTATCTATCTCACATGTCTGTGTGATGATCAAAAAAGTGACGTATATAAGGCACTTGCACTTTGGCACACAATAAGCATTACATGCATATAAAAAAATCAAGACCAATTCAATCTCATTTCTCTTTAGAAATAGATTATTTAACATTTCCACTCAACAGAACTGCCGTAAGAAAAATAAAACTATTTAAAACATAGCATTAAAATTCAAAATAAAGCATTCGCATACTAGCTGTTTCAAGTCTTTAATAAAGATCAAAAGGGTAACTATCTTCTGAACACACAAAATAATGAAGGATATACAAAAACTATACCCATCCTATAACTGGGGTTAAAGAGGACATTTCTCAGATAATGAAATGTAAAGGGCATATCGTATCATAGTTCTTCTACACAAAACACACGAGGATTTCAAAACTGTAATATATTACTTATAATAAGATATCTGCATCCCTCTCTAGATATCACCTTATTACTCATCTTCCCTTCACAGCCCATCATCTCAAAAATATTGTCTAGATCTACTGTTCAATATGGCAGCCGCTAGCCACAGGTGGCTTATATTTAAATTAATTAATGATTAAAAATTCAGTTCCTGAGTCACATGAGCCACACTTCAGGTGCTCAATAGCTACATGTGGCTAAGAGCTACTTTACTAGGCAGGGACTCCCATCATTGCAGAAAGTTCAAGTGGAGAGCACCGGTCTACAGACTTCATAATAATGCAGGCTGGGTAAAGAGGGCTGAATCTCAA